GCAAACGCTCGCGCCGCGGACGCATCCGAGGCAGTCGAAACGGAAAGCTTATCCTTCACCTTGCTCATATCATGCGCTTTAAACGAGAATCCGAAATCCTCCAAAATGGCCTTGATCAAAAGGCCGGTCGCTCCACCCTTCAGGATGACGTAGCAGTCTGTTTCTCCGCTGCTTAGGGCTACTGTAGATTGTAATGTGGTTTGCGTCTTTAAAGTGTGATTGCCAAACATTGCTACCATGCCGTTAGTACTCTTGCGGGTAATCGGACATCCGGCCCAGTCTGTCAACCGACATACTGAGCTCCTTCGGCATTTGCTGAGGGGGGAATCGACAGACGAGGCGCGGGTACTTCTTGAGATAGCGGCACAAGTTCTTAAGAGCCGCCAGGTCCGAGACACTGGGGTGCTGCATTTTCCTTGTCATACTCTTGACCGCATCGCCGATGTCTGGCCGATCTTGAGCGAGATAGGCCGCTCCCATCACGCCTGAACGGTGGGCGCGAACACCGGCAGCGCCCAAGCTGGGGAGCTCAAGCTCCTCCAGGGCGTCCTCGACGCTCTTCTTACTGGACGGATCATCGACTCCCTTGGCAGAACCTTTATCCAAATCGTGGTCTCTCAAAAATTGTTTCAACATGTCGTTGGTCACTCTCAATCTCGATACAGGCCCCAAGGTCTCGAACATACCTCAAAACTCTGTTATGGAAGACCACCTGAATCCTTCTCCCCAGGCCCCAAGACACCCGGACATTGCATGTCGCACTTGGATGCCAACCTGGAATTCACATCCACCAAAGTGATGTCATCGCCAACGACCATGATATCGTCGCCGCGGACGAGGCCCCTCGCCTCGTCGCTCTCTCGAAGAAGAACATAGGGATCGGACATCCCTCGCCGGAACTCGCCGTCTCGCATGAGGTTCAAATAATCGCCTTGCCAAATGACTAGCATCACGCGCGCCGCACATGCTCTTGTCCAACTTAGCTCCACGACCATCGGGCAGCGCGATGCACGCGTCGCGCTGCGCCCCCCCCCCCCCATGCAGATGCACCCGAGAAACGTCCCAGAAACCAACCTTGACAGGTAAACATCGCTTCGGAACTCTCTGCGTAATCGCCAAGCTCAACAACAATCTGAAAGCCCCCAGGGGTGGTGCACTGCTGAAAAGCTCTGCTGCTTAAGCTGCTCAGGACATCGTTTCTGCTTGCCTGCGACTTCTCTTGCGACCATTCTGCTGCGAGAACGAGGGCGACGACTATCACCCTTGTTTGTGTCCACCCAGCGGGTCCCCAAAGGGTTCTTGTCTGTCAGGCCCCTACAGGTACCTGGTCCAAACTCAGTGAAAACGTTCTGCTTAGTCATCCAAGAACCTTCTTCGGCTCTAGCTTGTTCAGTAAGTTTAGTGTCGAGCCATCCTCCGTTCACGTCGCCCCGATACTTCTCCCCCTCCTCCTGTCCTGGCTCTCCTCCTGGGACGGGCAGAAAATGCTCTTCCTCAACTTCTGGGCCGGCCCTGCACCTGCGACTGCTTTGATTTCTCTAGTCTCTCGACGCTCGGAGGCGATAGCCTCCATAATGGCTTCCCCCAACTGCACGGGATACTCTCGAGTTTGGGATGCGCGACTGTCCAAAAGCGGAACATGATCATGCGAGGAGCCCGAACACGCGCGAGCAAGCAAGCTGGCCAATGCTGCATTGTTGGTCAGCCAACCGGTAGGCTTGCGAACAGGACCCTCGCTGCCATCTGACCTCTTACCGACCAGGCCAAACTGGCACGTGTCGCTCCTGACTAAAAGGACACCTGGCTGGCCGGCTAGCCACTGCGCCCGCTCGTCTTTCCAGCTCGCAGCTGTCCAGGGGCGTTCGCGGAGAAACCGGCGACCACGACGAATCTGATTCAAACAGGCATTCACCGAAAAGTGTAGCATTCCGACTCCCTCCTCCTCAAATCTAGCTCGCTCCTCGGGGCCCCTGCACTTGCCCTCGTTAAGCTCCTTTAGGTTAGTGGGCGTTCTGCAATCCGGGGGCGCAAAAAAGAAGTAGGGCTCCTGGTCCTCCAGGGTCTGCGTAGATCGACGCTGATAACGACGATCCCTTAAGTCATGAGATTCCCCATTCTCATCAGCGATCTGCAAATATGCGATGAGGCCCGGCCGCAAACCAAACGGTCCTGCCAGCTCCGAAAACAAAAAAAGCCTGGATAAAAAAGCTCCGAGAGCGCGGACGCCGTCAGGCCCAGGGGGGTGTTGAACGCGATGTGTGATGCATCGATGGCCAGCGGCGCCTCCGATGCCTCCTGCCGCGGCCGGAACTGCGGCTACCAAAGCGGGTCGTATCTGGACGTCTCCATCAGCTGGTCCCGCTACTACTGCCTGTGTTGGTGTAGGCGCTGCCGGCCCACCTGATCCGGCAGCTCCACCTGATCCTGCATCCTCTGGGGCATCCTCTGTGGCGTGGCAGATAACTCTGAACGTGCTGCTTTCCGAGCGGGGCCCTGCGGCCCGCTCCCAAGCGATGCCTTAGCTGTCGCCTGATATCGTGGAACTGGCACCTGGACTCGAGCTTCTGGTCGAAGTGCTGCTGGTGCTGCGACTTGGGCCGCTCCTCCTCCCCTGCTGGTGATGGGCGGTCTGCCTGAGCAACTGCTGGATCTGCCGCGGCGGGGGCGGCCTCCCGCCTCGGCTT